AAACACAGCTTAAAGCAAAGAGGGCTCGTGGCTGCATCTTGATGAGAGAAGTCAATTAAAGTAAATGAAGTAGGAGGCATAAATTCAACTGGAAGTAAATGCGGACAAGACAACTCATAGGCTGTGTAGCAAACAATAATTTTGGGTAAAGTCTATAATTCTCACTAATTACAGGTAGCAGCTACATAGGAGCACTTACAATTTTGCAAGAGAATCGATAAATGACAGCAGTTAAATATGTACATATTTCTTTGAGCGCAGCTGTATCTTCCCATTTTTTAGACAATGAGTCGTACGTTTCTATAGTGACGGAACTAATATGTGAACAAAGAACAACAAATATCATCATTAGAGGCTGAAACTATGACATGGATATTCCTATGACTTACAATGCAGATACATTAATCTAGTAACAACACAGCAAGGAATCAAGAGGGGGAGAAGGAGCAGGAAGAAAGTTTACGAAAGCAATGAGGCTTGAATTAGTAAATCTTCTTGAAACAGGAAGACCATACCAGGCAACATGTCTATAATATTGTTGAGCAGTCACAGCCATAGTTTGGTGCCACACAAGCATAAATGCGCGCAACTCCTTTTTTACCAGACAATTAGGAGGCATGTGCAAAGAAAAAACGTGCTACTCAGAAACACGCATTTTATTTATTTCGAAATGGTTTCTCATAGTAGAAAGGTCAATAAGTTCATATAGCATATTGGGGAGCATTGGAACTATAATCTAAGATTAAAAATCTAGTGGTTTGCCTCCTTGAATAAAGACATGCTGCTTGAAATCTAGAACAGACTCTGCAACAACAGAGTGCTTGGAAAGACTCTTATAGTAGGATGAAACACTACATTAGGATGTCCAGAATAGGGAAAAGGGAAAAAAGGGCATAAACCTGCAAGTGTCAATCTATGATTTTATGGCGTCGCCTAGGCATCCCGACGGTTTCCCAAGCGAGGCATCCCGCTCGCCACGCCTTCCCCGGGTATGGCGTCGCCTGGGGCGATATGGCATCGCCTCGCGGCGTCGCGCGGGTAAGGCGTCGCCTCACGGCGTTCGCGCGGGAAAAAAGGCGCGGCCCGATGCGCGCGCACGGGAAGGGAGAGGCGTGGGAAAGGAGATGCGTGCGCGCCTGTACCCCCCTCGCAGGCACGCCCCATCCCTGCAACGCGCCAATTGAGAGAGAGAGAGGAGGAAATCGAGGAGAGAGGGGGAAGAGAAGAGGGCGGCACCTGGAGTCCATCCACCGGCAGCCCGACACCTAGAGTCCCCCGCCGGCACATGGAGTTCGCCTGCTGCTTGGAATCCGTAGAGGAGGAAGTCCTCCTCTTATCTGCTCCTCTGCGCCTCCTCTGCTCTGCTGTCTGCTCCTTTGCGACGCCCTCAGCCCCTCAGGTATATGCATATCTCCTCTCCTCTGCTCCTCCTCTTCTTTGCTCTTCCTTTCACATCCTTTGTGCTATATAGCCATAAGCCATGTGCTCAGTCAGTGACTTGTGTAGTGCCTAGTGACCTAGTGCCTAGTCATAAGCCATCTGCTAATAATTTTTTGCTACTTGCATGTGCCTACTTTATAGTTGATATTGTTGATCTTTGCATGCGATTACCGATAGCAGAAAGAATGGCTAGTCCGCCTTCTATCAACAATGGCAACTATGACCCAAAGACTAATAAAGCAAGGAAGGCCAAGTCAAATGATCCAGGCTGTAAGTATGGTTATTGGGCAAACCTTCAAAACCGAGATCAGGTGACATGTACCCTTTGTGACGTTGAGGTTTGTGGAGGGATAAAAAGGTTGAAGAAACATCTGGTAGGTGGCTATGGAAATGTCAAAATGTGTCTGAAGACGACTACTGCTATTAGAAAGGAGATGAGAGATTATTTGGAATCCAACAGGAGGAGAAGGCCATTGTTCTTACAAGAGGGTGATGAACAACAAGAGGAAGCAGATGTGGTGGTGCTGGAAGCAGGCACAGCTGAATTGACTGAAGTTGGAGAAAGTGCACCTGAAGGATCCCAAACCTCCAGGGTGTAGCCAAGTTCAGGGACTGCAGCCAAACAAAGGCATGCAGCCTATTTGTTCAAGGCTCCTGCAATAAAGAAGACCAAGGAAGTGCCAAAGGAGAATAAGTCAATTATTCAAATGCTTCGCCCAACACCTGAAGAAATAGTTGATCAAAGGCGTCAAGGCTGTTCTCAACCCATAATTTCAGCTAAGACTAAGTCCAAAGAGGAGAAGCATTACGTGGATATGCAGTGGGCATTATGGTTTTATGAATGTGGCATACCCTTTAATTCAGCAGCAGCACGACAGTCAGATTGCAATTGAGGCAACAACACAGTTTGGTTCTGGGTATGTGCCACCTTTGAAAGGTCAAGATAGCGGACTAGAGGGGGGGTGGATAGTCTTTTCTAAAATTAATCGCGTCGGCTAACCGATATAAATGCGGAATTAAAACAATCGGTCTAGCCAAGACTACACCCCTCTATATATGCTCACTAGCACCTTGCAAAGATACTAATTATGCAACTAAGGTGCCAGGCTAGCTAGAGCTCTCCTAAGCAATTCTAGGAGCAAGGTCACACAAACCTATGCCACTAGTACTTTAAGCAACAAGGGAGCTCCTACACATGCTAGTAAGCAAAAGCACAAAGCCAACTAAGCTCACTAGCAAAGCTCAATAACAAGGCAACCAATGCCTAATTAGAGAGCGCAAATACTTAGCTACACAAACTAAGCAATGTGACTAACAAGGTTACTAAAACCAAATTAGCCACGCAAAGGAGCTACTTCTATGCTACACAAGCAAGAAGGTAATTAGCTAGCTACACAAGCCATCTAATTACAAGAGCAACTACACAAGCTTAAGATATATATATATAAGTAATTGCAAGCTTGTGTAATGGGGATGCAAACTAATGGGAAGAACAAGGTTGACACGATGATTTTTCTCCCGAGGTTCACGTGTTTGCCAACACGCTAGTCCCCGTTGTGTCGACCGCTCACTTGATGGTTCGGCGGCTAATTAGCATCACCCGCTAAGCCCGCACGTCGGGCACCGCAAGAACCTACCCCTTGAGTGAGGGTAGCTCAATGACACGCTTTACTAAAGTTGCTCTTCGCGACTCCCGCGGGGCGAGCACAAGTACCCCTCACAAGCACTTCTCCGGAGCGCCGCACAAGCTTCTTGCGGGCTTCGACGGAGACCACCACCAAGCCGTCTAGGAGGTGGCAACCTCCAAGAGTAACAAGCACCACCGGCTTGCAACATGACCACCTAGTGCCACTCGATGCAACCTCACGATGCAATCGCACTAGAATCGCTCACTCACACAATCGAATGATCACTATCAAATATATGTGTGATGGAGGGCTCCCAAGCACTCACAAGCATGGACACTAAGTCCCTTGAGGTGCTCAGCACCAGCCATGGCCGAGGGCCACTTCTATTTATAGCCCCAAGGGCTAAACTAGCCGTTACCCCTTCACTGGGAAACGGTCGGGCCGACCGGACGCTGGACCTCAGCGTCCGGTCGCCCGCAGACGGCCACGTGTCTCGGTTCCAACGGTCACTTGACTTGACCGGACGCAGCAACTTTCAACTGACCGGACGCTGAACCCCCAGCGTCCGGTCGTTTCCAGTAAGGTACCGACCTCGACCGGACGCGTTCGGTCACACTTGATCGGACGCAGCCAGCGTCCGGTCACACTCCAGCTTCTGCGTCATTGTACGTCAGCCTGATCGGACGCATCCTGCCAGCGTCCGGTGCGTTCAGATCCAGCGTCCGGTCAGTTGACCGACGCCAGCATCTTCGCGACTAACTCGTTTTCACTTCTAACTTCATCACCCTTGCTCCAATGTGCTAACCACAAGAACTTGCATCCGGCGCAATAGAAAATAGGCATTCTATTTTCCCGAAAACGCCGAATCCCGCCGAGAGGGACCCAAACCCATCTCACCCCTGCAAACACCACCTCCTTTGTAAATGTGCCAACACCACCAAGTGTACACCACCATGTGTATGTGTGTTAGCATTTTCACAATCATTTCCCAAAGGATGTTAGCCACTCAACTTGCCACGCCACTCGATCCTAGCGACAATGCAAAGTTAGATCACTCGAGTGGCACTAGATGACCGATATGCAAACAAGTTTGCCCCTCTTGATAGTACGGCCATCTATCCTAAACCCGGTCATAAACTTCTCTACACACCTATGACTGGTGAAATGAAATGCCCTAGGTTATACCTTTGCCTTGCGCATTCCATTCCATCTCCTTCAATGTCGATGCAACACATGCACCAACACGATCAACAATGATATGATCCACTTCATATCATCACATGATCATATTGGTTCATCTATCTTGACTCTACTTGCTCTTCACCGTTGCTATCGTCCATCGGCGCCAAGTCTTGCTCAAGCTTCACCGCCACGCGGTCCATCACTCCAAAGCCTTTGACTTGCCCTTCACGCTTGCAACCGGTCCATCAAGCCAAGTCTTGTCTTGATCTTCTCCACCTTGATCACATGACTCAATGTCATGTCTCATGTGCAATAAGCTCCTTCATCATCACATGTGTGAGCTTTGCAACATCTCCAAGCCATTTTCACCTCCATGGCATATGTTGCTCATACACATGTACCTGTGGACTAATCACCTGTGTATCTCACATAAACACAATTAGTCCACCTAGGTTGTCACTCAATTACCAAAACCAACAAGGACCTTTCAACCTTCTCCCCACCTGCTTGGAGAACCATTGCTTAATGATGCTGTGAAATTGACTAGCAATGTGAGGAAGGAACATGAGTAGGCATGGAAGCAATATGACTGCACTCTTATGTCTAATGGATGGACGGATAGGAGGGGCCGACATCTGATCAATTTTCTTGTGAACAGACCTGAAGGCACATACTTCATAGAGTCTGTTGATGCATCAGCTGAAGTACATGATGCTTTTATGCTTGATGATCTGTTAGGGAAGAAGATTGATGAGATTGGGAAGGAGAAGGTGGTCCAAGTCATCACTGACAATGGGGCTAACTACAAGGCTACGGGTAGGATTTCTAATGGAGATGATTCCTACACTATTTTGGAGCCCATGTGCTACACATTGTTTGGACCTGATGCTGGAAGAAATAGGGAAATTGCAGGCATTCAAGAAGACCATTGCACGAGCAAGACGTATCACAACTTTCATCCATAGGCATGAGAGGATTCTTAGTTTAATGAGAGAGAAGACAGGTGGGGCTGATCTTATGAGACCTGCAGTAACTCGATTTGCCAGTTCTTTTCTCACTTTGAAAAGTTTGCACAAGCACAAGGATGATCTGAAGGCTTTATTTTATAGTGAAGAATGGTCTGAAAACAAATTGGCAAAAACTAATGCTGGTGATAATGTGCATTCCATTGTCTTCTCTGTTGAGTTTTGGAATTCAATTGAAGATTGCCTTAGAGCTTCAGCTCCACTCCTTATTGTTCTTAGGGTGGTTGACGGTGATGAGAAGCCTGCAATGCTGGAGGTCGCAGCACTAATGAATCATGCAAAAGAGAAGATAAAGCTAAACTTTGATGTTGATAGCAAGAAGAACATGCTAAAGAAAATCTTGAAAATCATTGATAAACGTTGGGTGAAACAAATGAACCATCCTTTGTATGGGGCTGCACTGTACTTGAATCCAGAAAAATTACATCCTCTCATACGGGATAATGAAGATGCAGTTGTTGGACAACTAAGAGGTTCTTTTCATGATATGCTTGCAAGAATGGTGGAGGATGAAGAACTTAGAGACAAGATTGATGCTCAGTCCTTGGACTATGAAGGCCCTTAGGAGAGATGTATTCTTAAACAAAATGGCCAACCAAAACCTTGACAAACTAAAGCCCTTGTGAGTGTTGTACTGTACTGCTGTTCATATTTTCCTAATTTAATTCCAGCAAGTCTATTTTATTCCTAATTTCTAATATATGTTTGTATTTGGCAATCTAGTGGATTAGTGGCGCTCGTATGGTGGCCGTGCTATTGAACTTCAAAGGTTTGCTAGACGCATTGTGAGTCTTTGCGCTTCATCATCATCAGGCTGCGAAAGAAACTAGAGCACATTTGAGTTTGTGAGTATTGTCATATGCCATCTCGTCTTATTTACTTATTTTATTTGCTGTTCACAATTTCAGCCAGATAATTACTCTTTGTTTGTTGTTTTCCCATTCTTTTTTTTTGTAGATCTATACAAAGAAAAGGAACAGGTTGCTGCATAAGAGGTTGAATGCCATTGTCTTTGTTTCCTACAACTGGAAGATGAAGACTAGGTTTCAAATAAGGCGTGAGAAAAAAGGAAAAAGTTTTGACCCTTTGGTCATTGATCAATTTGATTGGGACAATGAGTGGGTTGACTGCTGCTATGTTCATCCTCAAGGTACGCGTGGATGTGAGGTTGCTGAGAATGAGAATGGTCTTACATGGGAACTTGTTGATGAAGCTCTTGGTGCATCAAGCTCGTTGCAAGGCCGCAATCTTCAAAGGAAAGCCAACAACAACAAGCGTTCAAGAAATTGACCTTCAGGGCTGGTTGAAGAAGACTCAGGTTCAGCCAATGAAGAAGAGGAAGATTCACATGATGATGCTGATGTGAGCAATTGTGAGGATGCTCCAAGTGGCACCAATGGTGATGGAGAGAACGTGGATGCTACAAATGTCCATGATGAGTTTGATGATGGGTATTAGGAGTTGATTGCTTAGTTGGAATGTTTGTGTTAAGACTCTAGTTTATGTTTGTGGTTGTTATTTTGTTAAGACTCTAGTTTAATGTGGCTGTTATTCTGTTAAGACTCTAGTTTATGTTTGTGGAATGTTTGTAAACTGTAATGTGATTGTGGAGTGTGGACTGCTATTATTTTGGGCTTGTGTCCTAGTGTTGTTGAATTTCTTATTGCATTTGCAGCTTGCTGCTTGGGAAAAGAAAAGAGACTTCAGATCATCAAAAGGTATTTCACTTGAATGTTTGATCCTCATTTCATTTCATTGATGATTACAAAGTATTTCTGTTACATTATTACATTCATCACATGTTGAAACCTGCAAGGGAATGCATGCTACTTGGAACAAGCCAACAAGGGAAACTGGAACGAGGAGGATCAATGGTACATGTGCTCTAGAATTGGCAGCAAAAAGGTATGTATCAGTGTATGTTTGTGCTACCCTATTGTAGGTTAGGCTATGTGTATGGCGTCGCCTCGCCACGCGCCTTATTCGCCTAGGCGTCTCGAAGGGGGTGGGTCGCCGCCCGTCGCCTTACCGTTGTAAGAACATTGGTGTCAATAAGTGGCAATACCTGAGTTTCCTTTAAGGTGTACTGCTCCAATAGCGTCTTCTTGTCCTCATGTGTGAGCACCTGATGCTCAGGAACAAGAACATGCTCCTTGATGTTTATAAGCAACTCGGCCTCCTGTTCATTACTTCAGTTATCAGAAATCATGACATAGAAGATCATTGATTATTGCACAATAGCATGCGGGCCAAGTAATGAGTCAAATTGGAGTAGCTTCTGGGTGTGCAAACTAACCTGGAAAACTTCCAAATGGATCTTTGGCTCCAATTCTATGAGAAACAACTTTGCAAATGGAGTTAGGTTCTGTTAAAGTACTAACACAGCTCTGGAGACATTCTCGTGCGTCATCATTTCAACATACTTCTTGATGTGCTTCATCCCTACTTTGCCATCATTGGGGAAGACATATATGTGATCAACGAACAAAAACCAATTACACTATTAGGAGGACTATCAAGCGCAGCTTCAAATACTGAACTTTGCTCTGATTGGCTGTCATTTTTAGGCTGCGGCTATAGGCTGTAGCTGCATGGTAGCTGTTCTAGAAGCAGTAGAAATTTATTTGCTGTTTGTAGGCACAACTGTAGCTGAAAAAAATCTACAGCGAACACAACCCAGGTAAACAAACCAGCTACACACCACTAACCAAATCTTTTATGGACACTGCATTGAACTCTAATGTGAATATACCCAGCAGATGAATCATCCTTTTATCTTTTATCCAAATGACAGGAAATCTTTTTCTGACAACGAACAAATACAGAGCGCCCCTTTTAGCGATGATGGATTAAAGTGTCTACACCAGTGAACGAATAAGTACATGGTGTGCCTTTTAGTATATCAGACCCAAAAATCGTTGACTAAGGTAGGTGGGAAAAGGAAACAACAAATACCTACTGATGATATGTAGTAGCTGTCTCAAGAAAATGTTCATATACATGGCGTGCTCTTTTAGTATAGGCCTCGAGAGTGCTCTAATTTTCTCGATGAACATGGCAAAGAAAAACATTCCGTATATTCTTTGGGTTGCCTACGGATATATATGATCACATTCAATTAGAAATCCTAGGGAAATGTACCATACTCCTGTTCTTGGGCATATAGCAGTTGCTAGCAGGTGACTTTTTGTTCAGTGAGGACTTCCAAACCGCTATGGTTGTCATCAGCAATTGAGCATGATGCTCATCTACATGTGTGTACGTGGAACCAAAGAGGCAAAAAATATGGGAATAGAAAAGGGAAGCTGAAGTAGAGCAACAAACCATAAGGAACCAGTGCCGCTCCTCGTAGATCTGAAGTTGCTCATGCCGGTGTCCCCCCTGAGCAGTTAAAAACTGATGTTTCTTTTGCATCTCAAATATATGTAAAGAACAAATAGGATTTTAAACATATCAAGTAAGCATTCAAACAAGGACAATCTATTACCTAGGTTTGGTCATGCACATGCGCCTACACATTATTTTTAAACAAGAAAAATGTACTGTATAGATTTCAGGCATATATTAAATCAATGAAATATTTTTGGCATAAACCTGTGCAGCTGAACGAAGGCACCTAGATCAGAATTGGTTGTGAAAGTGCATCTAGCCCTTTAGTGGGTTTTGGATGATTGAATGACAACATGATTAAAGGACTAACCCGTTTGCTAAAGTGTGAACAGGTAATAGGTTATCTCATAGATACTTAATGAAAGCCAAAATGATGTGTTGTTGTATAAACAATCTAGTTCAAGCATAAGACAACAATGCAAATGGAATTCATGTGAAGGCTTATTTATTGTGGGATTTCCATGTACTATGTGATAGCAAGCTCATGATTATTAGTTAATGAGACATGATGGATTGCATATGGAATGGTCTCATATCTGAAGCTTGCTAAATTAAAATGAAAAAGATAACAATACATATGAATGGATGATTCAACACAAGATGTGACTTGATGGCTTGAGATGGTGAAGATAGCAAGGAAAGGCTTCGAGGTACTAAGCAAGGGTGAAGGGCAAGCGACGGCTTGGCGGCCGAAGAACCTAGCTAGGGTGAAGAAGAAAGTACTTGCATTTAGTTGAGCTACTAGTCAAGCTAAGATGGTCATATTGATGTGAAGGATCAAATCTATAATGAAGTATTTGATGGAAGTGACTTGATACATTTGGGATTATTCAAACTTGATGAATGGAATCAAGTCACATGCTCAAGATGGCTATGCTCAAGTGAAAAGATCAACATCAACATGTTAGCACCCTTACTTGATGAAGATTGGAAGGGATGGCATCAATTCAAAAGAACAACTCAAGTGGTACAAATTCATATTTCCGTTTGTCTTGAGTTTAATAGGTATGCCGTACTATTAAGAGGGATGCATCATGTTGATAGATAATGTTTCATAAGTGCTCAAGCCAACCCATGTGAGTTTTGAGTATTTGAGAGACAAAAGAGCTAATCGATTTGTTGTTGGTTCCGCAATACGGACGTGTCCGGTATTCATACCGGACGTGTCCGGTATTTGTCCAGCAGCTGTAAAATTGTTGTTCTCGGGTTGGATAGTCGGGAGTTCCGACGGTCGGGAGTCCCGGCATGGGTCGGGAGTTCCGACGTGTCGCACTTCAACTGACTTGGAGGGTTCACTGTCCTGGTCATACCGGACGTGTCCGGTATTAATACCGGACGTGTCCGGTATGGATGACCAGAAGCCAACGGCTAGTTTTCAAAAGCCGTGAGGGTCGGGAGTTCCGGACGTATGTCGGGAGTTCCGACGGTCGGGAGTTCCGACATATGTCGGGAGTTCGACACCTCACTAACTTTAACTTCGATTACATGTTTTTCAAAATTCTTCGAGGGTCGGGGTTCCGACTTGAGTCGAGAGTTCGGACGGTCGGAAGTCCCGGCATACTTCGGGAGTTCCGACGCCTCACAACATCATCAGAACTTAGTTACCGTTGGCGCAGATCGAGTCATACCGGACGTGTTCGGTATGCATCTTCGGACGATGTCCCAGTATTGCAACGGCTAGTTTTTCAAGGGGCTATAATACCCCCAAGCCTCCACCTTTGGAGGGTGCTTGATTCTCTCGACTTAGACACACGTTTTTGAGCCTTGCCAACCCTCTCTTAGTGAGTGATTGATCAAACTTGCAAAATCAATTTGTGGGTTGAGTGAAATTCAAAAGAGAGCCATCCAACCACTTGAGCACTTGTGCATATTGTCAATCTCGTGATTCGTGATTTGTTACTCTTGGACTCTTCGGGTCCTAGACGGTTAGACGTCACGGAGAGCACCCGGGAGATTGTGGTGTGCCTCGGAAAGTTTTTAGAATTGGCCGATTCCGCCTACCGGAATCAATTAGTGGAAGGAGGAAAAGGAGTTGGAAAAGACTCGGCTAGAGTGACCTTCGTGGTATCCTCTAGGGCTGACCTTCGCTGGGTCGCCCGCAGCCCCCTCAACGGAGAGTAGGACTCGAACGAGTCCGAACTTCGGTAAAACAAATATCGTGTCTCAATTCGCATTTCATTTGATATTTGTGTTGCTCTAGCACTTGTGCAGGTTCTCTGTGTATACTGATAGTTAAATTAGGTGCCTGCAGTTTGGTTTGAAGATAGAAATCAAAAGGAGCAAGTTCGGGGCTGATCTGCAGAAATCGTGTATACCGGACACGTCCGGTATTTCCTGCCTGCACTAAAAATATTTATTCTCTATTCTAACTTGATGTTGCAGGGTTGTAGCTTCCAGATATATTCTTTATACCTTGTTTACTCTGTGGCTAACTTGTGAGGGGTGGTAGTACTCTTAATTTGGAGTTTCCATTTTGGAAACTCCCCTTTCTAATTGTTTCCGCATTTAAAGGTGTTAATTTTCAGAAACTTCTATTCACCCCCCCTCTAGGCGACATCCTAGGTCCTTTCAATTGGTATCAAAGCCAGGTTCTCACCTAAAGCTTCACCGCCGTGAGAAAAGGATGTCGACGCCTATCGAGTTGGAGCCGGTGCTTCTCCAAAATGATGGTTCAAACTTTCTACCTTGGTCAATACATGTACTCAATGCTTTTAGAGATATTAGTCCTCTTGTTGAGCATATTGTGGATGCAAGCATACCTCTTTCTATAGTTGATTGGAGCAACTACAAAAATTTGTCAAAAGAGGAAGAGATATGCGTGCAACTCAATGCTCAAGCTATTAATATTATTTTGAGTACATTGAGTGTAGAGGTTCAAGATGAGGCAATCTTCAATGGACAACCACCTCCGGAGAGTGCTCATCTCATTTGGACTAGACTTTTTGATTTGTATGGAAAATCCAAATGTGATGATGCACTTGAGATTAAGTCATTGGAAAGTATGTCCATTGTGTCATCATACAGCGAAGAAGCCTCACAAGACCTCAAGAGCACCGAGCCGGAGCAAGAAGTGCAAGCAGCACATGACGTGCTGTCTGCCTGCACATACCGGACGTGTCCGGTATGGCCGAGGCAGCAAACCAGCAAGCAGCTGTTTGTAGCGATGCTCAAGCCCGATGGCGACCAAGTGATGAGTCAACCTCAGTATCTCATGATACTCATCACTTGTGTCTCATGGCCAAGAAAAGCAAGAAGAAGAATAACAAGAAAGATCAAGAAAAGGAGAAAGCACAAGTAGATGATCAAGATAAGAGTGATGTTAAAATTGAAGACAACTACAACCTTGATCATCTCAACCATAAAGACAAGTTCATCATCATGAAGATAGTTGAAAAGAATGATGAGCTTGAAGAAGAGATTGAGAAGCAAGAGCAATCGCTTCAAAATCAAGAAAAGTTTCTCATCTCCAAATTGCAAGAGCTAAAGGCAATAAATGAGAGGTATGAAAAATTGTCAATTGAGCATGCTTTAGCTACTAACTCCTCTTCTAGTGTTTCACAACTAGAGAAGGAAAACTTCGAGCTCAAAGCAAGGCTAGATGAACTATCAAGCAAGTATAATGAGCTACAAGCAAATTATGTTCATCTAAAGTGCTCTCATGAGGAAGTAGTAGAATCAAGCATCATGCTTGAGGTGGCTCATGAGGTTGTGATTACATCGGTAAAATTCTCTCAACCTCTAACACATCCGCTCACTAGTACACCATCTCAATTAAATATTTCTTGTACTAATGAATGTGCTCCTCAAGCAAGCCAACCTTCGATTGAGCTAAATCTTATAGAAAACATAGAGCTCAAAGAAGAAGTACAAAGATTAAAGAAAAATGTGATTCGGTTGAAGGGTAAGGAGAAAGCACAACCTTCTCAAGATAACCGTGATAACATGGTGAAGAAGCTTGAGAAGGGTTCAAACCTTGCTTCCTCCAAAGCCCAACAAAAGAATCACATCTCAAGCAAGGCCAACACAACCAAGAGCAAGAAACATGGAAAAAGGATGTGCTATGGTTGTGGATTGTATGGACATGAGTGGGCTATGTGTCCACACAAGAGTTGGGCCGACAAAGTTGAAGCCGCAAATCAAAAGGCTTCTACCAAGAAATGCCCAATGTACAAAGAAGCAAGAAAGGAAGC